ACTCTGCATTAAGCACTGCTCGTTGTTCTTTGAAGCTGAAAGGAGGTGGAGCTTTCATGCATCATGGGATTAATCACAATTGTTGCAACCTTCACCTGATGTATTCGGATGCATTACGCGCAGCGACACATTAGTTTATGGGGCTACGAATTCATTTTTATGAAATACGGAGTAGCAATTATACCATCCGCGTAGCAGTTCGTAATGGAATTACAGTGGAGATTGAGGCATTTAATATCATGTTGTCGTCCACTAACGACACTCACCACATGCTGCAATAATTGTGGTAGTGACTACATTTACGGCTTATGAGCGGCCGCTGCGCAACGTTATAACCTCTATTGTGCATTGCTGTCTGACATACTGATTGCATAATCTAAGGTCAGTGTAAACAGAACAACAAACAGTGAACAACGCTTATTGCCGGATAAAAAAGCAGCCGCATAATAATTCCAGTAAGATGGTCGGGGTAAATCTACAAAAACAAGATGTATGTTGTCTGTTCAAGCGTTTAGCTTGCAGATACGCTGCTTTACGCTTGGAGTCCCATGATGCTATTTTTTAGGACATGCGCGATTCGCTCTTGAGTACACGGTTGATTATTCGCCGTTGCATTTGGCGTATTTCCTTCTGTTGGTTGGCTCAAGTGTACTTTAGTAGCTTCCCTTCATTTTGCCCTCATAACTATATAAACAACTGTGATTTCATGTATACAAGTCTCCTTCTGGCTCGTCTTGGAGTTCTTCTTGCGGTCGTGGGGTGAAGGCGTCAGTAGCGACACAGTAGACTTTCTGGCGACGGAGGCTCCGGTAATCATGTCGATTTCGTTCGAACAAATGCAGACGCTGCTGCAACAGCAACAACTCCAGGTTGAAAAATCTCAACGACAGTTGATCAATTGTTATCTCAGAAGCTGAACATCAAAAGCGAATCCCCGACGACAACCGCACGGCCATCTGTGGACGCCCTTGCGGCTTCAATTACAGAATTTGTTTTCGATGGATTGAACGGATTGACACTTGAATCCTGGTTCTTAAAGTATGAAGATATTCTTCGAGTGGAACTTGCAGACCATGACGATGCCTAGAAAGTTCGTTTGTTGTTGAGGAAACTTGGCGGAGTCGAGCATGAACGTCACACAAATTTCGTTTCGCCGAAGAATGCAAGAGACTTCAGCTTCGATGAGGCGATGAAAACGCTGACGTAGATATTCGGTGAGCAAGCCTCTCTGTTCAGTGTTCGCTACAATTGCTTGAAGTTAGTCAAACGCGATGCAGTTGATTTTGTCACACATGCCCGGGTCGTAAATGGCGAAGTTGAACGATTCAAACTGGGCATGATGACACCTGCTCAATTCAAGAATCTTATTTTCGTGTGCAGTCTCCAGTCTCACGCAGATGCCGATATTCGAACCCGAATTCTCCACAAGCTCGAACAAGAACGACAGTTGATGTTGCAAGAGATTACAGCCGAATGCCAGCGACTGATTAATTTAAAGCACGACACAAAAATGATTGAAACTGACGATCACAGGATAGGACCCCAGATTTATCGCACAGCTAACCGAGGTATAGTGATGAACCGGAATCGGTCA